GATTTCAAAGTGGTTTTGTGTGTTTCCCGAAGACCTTCGAACTTTATAGATTGGAAGATCTATTTTTATCTTTGTTGATTAGATTAATGACAGGTTCAATTAAACATCAATCAGAACTTTGAATAAATATGTTAAGGATATCCTTAAAGATCGATAAAGGAACAGTCTTTTGATCTAATTAACAAAACATCAATTAATTTAAGCAAACATTAATGTCCTAAAGTCTAGAATAAACAAATTTGAACAGACCGACTGTAATGCGAACAGGGCGCCATCTATCATAAAAATGTCTTGAAGCCCTATGTAAAGTAGGTGCCTGTAGCGTCGATGCAAAACCAGTAAATAGTGAGTTTCCAATATGGTAGATGGTGCTGGCTTGGCTCAATTTTGTTGACAAGAAAATTTACACTGAGATTCCATTCTCGACAGTTTATATAGTATTTATCTCTGTGTATGCTCCATTTCAATGTCAGCCAACATCTATACAAACACCGGATATATTTTATCTACAAGCGTGCGATAACTAAGGTATATCATTCGATTTTGCTTGCGGTAAGTAGAATATTACCGCGTGCGATAATATACAGGCTTGTCGTTATGTATGGAAACGGCCTAATATTTCTGAACGCGCTTAAGAACAATGTACCATATTTCCTATCTGGGGTTATTGATGGGAATGCCCGATTCAATGGTGGTATTTGCAATGTTGCCAACTTTACCGTTTCTAAGATATCCTATGTAACTTGATTTTTTTAAACGAAAGTCCCTCTTTTTTATTATACAATGTGACGCACTTAAGGATCCGCCAGATAAACAGTACCGAACATATAAATTATCTCATTTAATTATTTGTATCATGCGTTTATGTTAAAAAAATGCATCACAGCAAGGCTACATTACGATTCTGCAAATCATTGAAAATATTTTTTCACCAAACGTCAGAAAAACGTCACTTTGTTAACCCCTGTCAAAATGTCAGAAATTTGATTTCTATGCTGCTAGGCAAATCCAGCGGGTTAACACCTGTCGAGGTGGTAGAAATTTAATTTATTTCCTACTGAACTATTATAACATTTATAACCATATAATACTTGGTTACAATAATCATAAACAGGGTCTTAACTCCCAAGTGTGGGGATGGTACTAAAGTTCGTTTCACCAAGGTTCATACTTGACCTTGAAACTTGACAAAAAAGGGTTGTCGTAAATTAATTTATATGACACATTCAATTTTTTTGACAAATTAAAATGAATGACGTCTGGTTCAAGAACCGACGAACGTTTTTGACGTCATTGATTTGTTTCAGTCAATTTTCATGTGTTAAACAAGGAAGACAAATGCTGGTGGCAAGTACAGGGTGTCCGAATTTGGATGGTTTTAATAGGAAACGTCAATTTCTGAGCGAGATACAAAAAAATGAACCCCCCACTCCGAGGCTCAAATTTCATGAATTTTGATTGGTGCGAACCGCATTTTGATATCTTCAACTGCTTAGCCGCTAGAGGGCGATTCTCGATTTTGAGCAATACTGTGAAATCTTCATAACTTTTTTGTTTATAAAAATAACTGATTTCTGTAAAAACTTCCTAGAAGCACTTTTTCAAGCAGAATTCAGTGACGTTTTCAGTTTTTTTCTATTAGGCCTCGATTTCAAGATTTTGACCAAAATCCGATTTTTTCCAATGGGACACCCTATATATTAATAGCTCATTAGAAAGCTCTGCTTTTGCAGATTTCAATGATAAAAATTTCGATAGGTTTATCTCTAACAGTTTTTGAGAAAAAAAAATATTTCGGCTTTTGTCATAGGAAACAATGAGTTAGAAAGAGACCTTTCTCAGTTTCCTTACAGATATAAAGTCCTTTTCTTACACATTACTTCTTATGACAAAAACCGAAATAATTTTTTTCTACTGACGTTTCATAATAGCGACTTTTCGATTGTCATTTTAGTTTTTAAATGGCATTCTTTTAAGCACTAGTGCGTAAAAGTGACACTTTTAAGCACTAGTGCCTAAAAGTGTCACTCATTGTTCAGAAATAAAAAACACAGATTTGAATTTTGTCTATTTTTTCATAAATGTTGTAAATGCAATTATTTGAACTACTAAAGTGAACGTTTGGGTTACTCAAAACAGAACTTTCTGTTGTTTTTTCAAAAGGATTTCAATTTTCAATCAAAAAAACCTCATGAAAGGTGTCAATCAAAAGCAGGTGCCAAACTTTTTTGGCGTGATCGGCTCTTATTTACGAGGAATAAAATTATGTTTTTTTCAGTATGAAACGCCAGTAGAAAAAATCTTGTATACAACACGTAACGAAACGATGTCTTTTAGTCACTCGACGTGTTGTCCAACTCGGCTACGCCTCGTTGGATAATTTTCACGTCGCGTGCCTAAAAGACACTCATTTCGTAACTTGTTGTATAAATAGCTATTTTCTACTTGCGTGCGCAAAGTAATCACTTTGCGCACTCATTTGCAAAGTTGAACTTTGCGCACGGAAACTCTTTGCGCACTCATTTTTGTTACGCATAATTACCATAGTTATACTTGATTTTTCAATGTTTTGATGGTTTCTGAATAAGCTAATATTCATAATGAAGGGTTTTAGTTGAAATTAGCACTTAGTTAACATGATGTTTCCTATCAAAGGTGTCCAAATTGGACCAGCCTGTACTGCTGGGAATTTGTACAATTTTTGATATTTGAGAGACTCTCATGAAAATATTTTAGCTGATATTCTAGAAATTCCAGAAGATGTTAAAAGATTTTTGGGAATTTAATTTAAAAGACATTCTAAGGAATTCCAATAGATTTTAAACGATTTTTGAAGATTTTGATTTGATTGATTTTTCTAATATTGTAATAATTCAAAGTCTACTTTTTTAAGATACTCGTAGAAAAAATATTGTTCCTAACACTTGCGCAAAGTGTCTTTCCCGCACTCAAAGCTTATCCGAACTCCGCTTCGCGTCGTTCGTGTAACTGCTTTTTCGTGCGGGAAAGTATCACTTTGCGCACTTGTTAGGAAAATAACTATTTTTCTCGAAAACTCTCAGAGATAAACCTATCGAACTTTATATCATTGAAATCAGAAAAAGCCGAGCTTTCTAATGAGCTATTAATATATAGAGTGACCTATTGAAAAAAAACAGACTTTGGTCAATATCTCGGAGTTGGGACCACCTAGAAAAAAACTGAGAACGTCACTGAATTCTGCTTGAAAAAGTGCTTTCAGAAAGTTTTTGCGGAAATCAATAATTTTCATAAACAAAAAAGTTATGATCGGTTATGATGGTTTCACATTATTGCTCAAAATCGAGAATCGCCCTCTAGCGGCTAAACGGTTGAAGATATCAAAATGCGGTTTGCACCAATCAAAAATTCATTAAATCTGAGCCTCGGAGTGGGGGGTTCATTTTTTTGTATCTTGCTCAGAAATTGATGTTTCCTATTAAAACCATCCAAATTCGGACACCCTGTACAAACCCTGGTGGAACAAACTTTACCTACTTATTTAATTTGAAAAATTTTGTGATTGGTGTGCAAGCGGGAATAATGACTATTAATCCCTGCGGGAATAATAGATGGCATTAAACTGCCAAAATCACAAATATAATACTTACATTATATGTCAGTCGTAAATAATAGTAGATTATACCACGAGTCAATAATGATAGCTATTATTCCCGAGGATTATTACGAACTGAGCCGCGTTAGCAGCGAGGGAGTAACATTCCGAGGGAATAATAGCCATTATTGCGAGTAGTATACTCTACTTTATTTACGACAAATTAATTTATTTGAGATTTTCAATGAACAAATTTCATCCGTCTCATAATTTTCAATACAAATCCACAAGCACTACACGTCTGACACTGACACTTTTGTGGAATAATGACCATTAATCCCTGGAGGAATAACATATGTCATTATACTGCCAAAATCACAAATATAATACGCATATTATACATTAGTCGTAAATAAATAACTATTATATGCTGCTTGGCAACCCCAGCGACAGCAAGAGTACTTTTAGTGCCGCTGGAGCAGCAGTAGAAGTACTTAGTATCGCTCGTACTTTTACTGCCGCTCAACCTTTCACTTGCCCCGGAGCTTACCCCATTCGTTTGGAGAAAAAATAGCGTGTTGCATACGGAGGAGATTGGAGAAGCACTTTTTTGTGCTTCAGCAGTATTGCAAAACTACCGCTTCAGCACAAAAAAGTAAAGCTTCTACTCCTTATACAACAATATACTATATTAAGAGTGGTTGCTGAAATTTTTCTGAGACTTGTTTCAAACTTGAGCCTTTATTCCTTCCAAATCCGTATGACCGGAAATAGTGCTCTACTAAAAAAACTGTTTCTTAATTTGAAAGATACATAATAACGAAGATTTTAGCCTTAACTCAATGTCAACCTCATAACTAATCCCAAGTAAGCGAAATATGATAAATGTAACTTGCGTGCGCAATTACTCAGAGCTATAGATTTCGGTACTGTTTATTTTGGCGGATACCGTATATCTACTCGAATTTGGCACTTATTGTTATTAGGCTCACAATTTTATTTTTAAAAATTTTAAAAGGATGGTCAGTCCTTAAAGGAGACACACTGTAGCAATTAATTCAGCGTCCCAACATTACTAAGACAATAGTTTTTTGTTTCTGATTTTGACGATGGATTCTAAAAATTTAGCTAAAACTACACAACTTTTGTATTTACACCTATCTTTAAAGGTAAATGCTGCAGGGGGTCAAAATATAGTGATTAGCCCGGTAAATAGTTTGTTGCTAAAATAGATTCTCCCTGTATAAAAAAACAAACAAAGAGAAAAAGTGAATTAATATGAAAACAGTAAACACAAGTTAGTAGTCAAGAAAAAGTATATTAATTATTACGTTAAGTTTCCATCTATGTCTTTGACGTTTTCAACTCTACAAAAAGAAAAAAATATAGAAAGGAAACTTTACGTAAATTAAAAGTCGTTTTTTACCTGGCACATTGCATTAGCTCCAAAGTGGTGAGACTTTGGCAGTTTTTTATCACTTCAGAGATTGGATATTTGCGTGTCAAGTTGGATAAGTCATGCTGGCCTTTAGGTATAGGGTATCCTGAATTTAAAAAAAATTGTTTGATAAAAATTTATAAAGGTATAATTATTGTTACTTACGTTGCAATACACAAGATTTAACACTCAATTTTTTGAGATCCCGACTATTTGGTGCCCTTAGAAAGTCAAATGTAGCCTTTATATAATCTTGTGTACAAAAACATTTGTGATGGTAAAAGTTTAATTCTCTAAACTTGGCAGTTTTTATTTGTTTGGTGAAGTAAACTTGCTAAAATTACATTAAATTTAAAATTTAATTAAACATACTCTCAATTGAATTTTTTACATAATTACCCTGTGGATATCAGGATCATATGGCATTTCAGATTTATAGGTATGCAATACCTGCCAGGCTGCTTCAAGATCAGTTTCAAAAGGTTGAAATATTGAAACATATTTTAGCGGAATAATTTTATCCATGTCAAGATGTTCTAAATATTATTTGAATTTTAAAAAAATCTGAGTTACTCTTATAAGCAATAATTACCATATTTCATAATAATAGACCTAAACCGTCTGGATTCAAAATATTTAGCAAGACCAAAAGGTTTGTAGTCCAAAAAGGGTATATTTACACTGGATTTTATGACAAGCTTTTCGAGAAATTTCATCTGGGCAACAATAATATCATATTTTAAGGCGTGGTCTGAGTCATCTAAATCACATATCTAAAAATCATTAATTTAGCTTTTATTTTCAATAAATGTCTCGCTTCTTACCCATAGTTCTTTAAGGGCATATAGCTCAGAAAAAAGCCTATGAAATATTGGATTTCCTTTCAGGTTTTTATGTGTAAAGTTAATACAAAGTTTTCTCAATAAATATAAATTATTTTTGTAGATTGTTGGATCAACATTTTGAATGAACTGATTTCCATCAATGGTTATAGCCAATGTCTTTAGCTGAAATTTGAAATCGCATTAATTAAAAAACCTTATTACCTACTGATTACCTTAGAGTATACAACCACATCTTTTGCTCTAAGACTTAGTTTTGTATTGAGAGCATACAACTCTTCCAAGTTTTTCAGGCTCTTAACGATTTTCCTTAAGTCATCCAAAGGAATCCAATATAGTTTGTTGATGTTGAGTGCCTTAATGTATTCAAAGGATACATTTAGTTCAATAAAGTCGCCTAGATCATTATCAATAAAGTAATAGTCTTCACTGACATCAAAAGTTCTTTAGAAAAATAATGATTATAAACTATTTTTAACTTAATTATCTGCTTACTTGACAATATTTCTCTGCTTTAGAAAATACATAAATTCTGGTGATGCTCTGCAAAAATTGATTACATCTGATGACGATATGTAGCTGAATATATTCTCCCATATTTCCAGAGGCATATAAATACCGTTGATAGCGGCCATTGTGTTAATAATGTTGATATTGACCTAGAAATAGTTATTTTTCTAAAAATAGCAGAATGTGATACTTTCTAACACAACTTTCATTGTGAGCTGATTAATTCAGTAAAGCAGTTGAGTAAAAGGCAAAATGTCCGCAAGCCTGAGAAAATAAAATCTAAAATTTAAACTATGGCTCATTGAGGCAATAATAAACTTGCCCACTTTGTGCAAGTGTTGGGAACGGTATTTTTTCTATGAGCGAAAACAATTAAGTACAAAAATGAAAAATGAGAGAATTTTAAAAAAACAAGAAAAAACAAGACAAAATACTAAGAAACAACCGAGCAAACAACTAAGTAAAAATTGCCGTTAAAGTTATCGGAAAATAAGTATAAAAAAAATAATGCAAAGCATGATGCAATGTTAAGGCTAAGAGATTTCATGAAATTTGAGCCTCAGGGTGGGGGTTCATTTTTTTTGTATCTCGCTCAGAAATTGACGGTTCCTATTAAAATTTGAAAGTGTCCAAATTGGCGCACCCTGTATGTAATACAGGGTCATTTTTATATTTTCCCGCCCCTTAACTTTTTTGTGCCACTGTGTAAAAAAAAATATAGACAGGAAAGATGTAGTGCTTGAAAAATAGTTCTCAGAAAACATAGTTTTGTCCAAGCAGGGTGTTGCAGAAAGTTCAAAAAACAATGGGACACCCTGTATATTATGACATTTATGGATTCTACGGCAAATTCTAGACTTATTTCATGTACCTATAATGTCCTATACCTAACCTATCTGCAACTGTTTTGGAAATATTGTTATTATAGAGTCCCCGGAGAATACCAACATTGACCCAATGACCCCACCTAGAGTGCGTATGTCGCGAGACTCTAATGCGGCAAATGGATGGTATCTGTTGGCTAGATTGAGAGACCCTTCCATCTTAAAAGCTCTCCGGCTTTACCTTGCTTACCTCCACGACCAACCTCCCAATGTGTGTTTCGAAGGTTACACCAACACCAGCATTAAATTGGCGCTAGCATCAGAGGGCCTTCCTAGTGACGTGGATTCTTTACGTAAGCTATACTATCGTTTCCACAACGCCTATGGCATCGGCTTGACGGAAGTTGAAGCGGATCTCTCTGCTTTTAGATCATTTTTTTCTTCGGAGAAAATCCAACAGCTTCAAAAAGTGAGGGAGACTCATTCCAAGTATTTTTCTGGTAGTTCTCCAAATAAAAATAATTTTTTTTAGATAAGTGGACGCGAACAGAGGAACAAGCACCCTCTGAAAAAATGAACGATAGCAAGCTAGTGTTTTCTCCTCAATATTCAGTCCATAAGACACAAAACTGACGAATTACATTTATTACTAGAACAGCTCAATTTTCCAGAAATTATTGCCATAACTGAACATTGGCTAAATATCAATGAGCCTGTATTTGTCAAAAAGTACACAACAATATCTAGGTATACTAGAAGTATATTATCCCACGGAGGTACAGTAATAATGTCTACTAATAACAACTTTTCGGCAGTGACTAAGTTCGACAATTTATTAATTGAGAAATTATTTGAATTTTCTATCGTCTACAACAATATTTACGATCTCTACATTGTTTGCATTTACAGAACACCTGACGCCGACTTGGTTACATTCTTTCAAAATTTACTAAGCTTGCTTGAGTCCCTCCCTCTTAATAGTAATTAATTTTTATGTGGCGACTTAAACATAGATTTTTCCAGTGTGTGTCCAAGAATCTCTTGACTATATTTGAATCTTTTGGTATAGTCAAGCATGTTCAATCTCCGACACGAATAACTGAAAACAGATCTAGCACTATCGACTACGTCGTGTCATCTTTTGATCCAAATTTCGTTGACTGTTCTGTTTTAAGTTCAGGTTTTTCAGATCATGAAGCAGTACTCACAAACTTTTCTGTGATGACGATTGGCAGGGACGCTCCACATAAGTTACGCCGAATTTTCTCGGAAAATTTTTTTCGAAATTTTGGGCGCCTATGTCAATCAATTGCTTGGGATTGCCTCTCTGATGACATTGATAGTGCATTTCCTACATTTGCAAATACATTTTCTGGTTTGGCTTCCAAGGCATTTCCTCTTAGGCCTATCAAAAAAAATCAACATAAACCTTGGACTACTAAAGGCTTGCGCGTATCGGCAAAGAACATGCGCTCGTTGGCACACCTTAGAAAAATTTCGGACAATCCCTTCTTCCAAAATCACGTTAAATGTTATAGAAAAACTTATCATAATAGCTATTTATATAACAAGTACATAAAGTGAGGCTTTATTGTACGAATAATTTTATGGCCTAGCGAGCTTGCGAGCGAGGCTATTAAATAATGAGTCAATAAAGCCTGTTTATGTAAGCGTTATACACATGGTTTTATGTACGATTGCGACTGGTTTTTATCAAAAATAAAAAACATTGTATGAAAAAATTAAAATTAGAGTATACCAGTTTCACCTTGGCAGGTTGTCAGGTAGTCCAGGTAGGCAATAAAGTAGCATTTTATTTTACTAGTAAAATAAAGTAACACTTTATTTTACAGTAAAATAAAGTGCTACTTTATTGACGCAAAACTGTTCAATAAATAGCACTTTATTGGTCAATCGGACATAAAGCAATAAAAGCCGTCAAAAACCTCTATTATGACAACCGGTTCGCTCAAACCGAAAATATTGCCAAGGAAACGTGGTCTATTGTCAACGACTTGAGAAATAAGGCTTCTTCATCCAGTATAACCTCTACCTCACCTGAGAACCTGAACGATTACTTCGTTAATGTCGCAAAAAATTTAATGACTACTATAGTTCCGTCCCGCGATCCACTTTCGTATCTTTCGAATACCAATATGAATTTACACAGTTTTTTTCGAGGTTTTTTTCTAACACCCGTGGAAACATCAGAGCTTTGCAGTACTATTGAAGACATCAAAAACAAATTGTCATCTGGGACTGATGGACTCACTTTAAAAATGTTTCTCAATTTACCAGAATGTACATTGAATCTCCTCACCACTTTTAAAAATAAATCATTCCAACAGGGTGTTTTCCCGAATTGCCTTAAGACGGCTATAATTATTCCTCTGCATAAGGGTGGGGATAAAAATCTAGCTTCGAACTATCGTCCAATTGCACTTCTTCCCACTTTATCAAAAAACATTCAAAGATTGGTTAAGAAAAGGCTCCTATCATTTTTGCATAAATATAAGATACTAACTACTCACCAATTTGGATTTCTAACCAACAGATGTACTATTGATGCTATGTACTCGGTCTTCAATAATGTCTACTCTAGCCTGAACAATTTGCACTCTTCAGCATCAATTTTCTGTGATTTTTCTAAAGCATTCGACTGTGTAAGTCATAATATCCTAATCAACAAATTGCAGTACTACGGAATTCGAGGCTTTCCTCTGGAATGGTTCAAGTCGTATCTTAACAACAGAAAACAACTTGTGAGGGTTGATACATCGATGTCTTCATGAAGGCCAATGGAATGTGGAGTTCCGCAGGGTTCCGTGTTGGGTCCAATATTATTTTTGCTGTTCATCAACGACAATGCTAGTCTAGACATCAGCGGTAAAATCTGCCTCTTTGCTGATGATACTTGTTTCACTTGGAGCAATCCGGATATTGTGGCACTCCATAGAACCATGTCCAGTGATTTGTTTACCATTAAATCATGGTGCGACTCTAACCTTCTCTGTTTCAACGCCGCGAAAACCAAAGTTCTGTCATACATAAGTACGTTGCAACCTATTGCACTTAATAACACCACTATTATTGACGTCGTTGATTCTGTGAAGTTTTTGGGCCTTATTATAGACAAGTCCCTGAAATGGAGCTTGCACATCGATGCTTTGTCCAAAAAATTGAGCTCCGCTTGTTTCGCAATAAGATCTGTTTCCAAGGAACTTAACTTTTCAACCTCTAGATCAGTCTACTTTGCCCTCTTCGAATCACATCTTCGATACGCCCTTCCATTCTGGGGTACATGCGGTGCGACTCAATTTGAGCGTATCTTTAAATTGCAAAAAAGGGCTATTCGCTATTCTCTTAGGCTAAAGAATAGAGCCCTTTGCCAAGTTTTTTTTCAAAAAATATAAAATATTAACACTACCTTCCTTATTCATACTAGAGTCAGTCTGTTAAACACGTTGAGTGCCACGTGTATCCAACATGGATACATACATCACCATGTTTCAGGGGCCACATGTATCCACTTTGGATAGGATACAAACTGTTTTTTTTTATTTCTGGGCGTGTGTATCCACGTTAGATGCAGGCTTTGCATGTATAGTAGAGTTTCAATGCTCGCAGAAGTCGCTTAAAACAGATTTTCGTTTGCACTTTATTGCTAAAATTTAAGGACTACTTTTTATCATTTCTAATACCCTAACAATGCAAAATCAACATGTCAAAAAATCGTACGGTCCAGGAAGTGGTGGGGGTGGATTTTGCAAAAAATGCCCAAAATTTTTTTTTATGATTTTTACATCTAACACACACGACCATTAAACTGACAAAATCAGATTTCAATATTTTCATTAGCAACAATTTTTTTTTAAATTTCCAAAACACCCTTCATAATGCTTTCTTATGGAGTTCCTTAACGAATAAACGCTTGTCCTGAAAATTGATTTCTATGTTATCGTTCACCTCGTTGTTAGTTGAAAACCATTTGGTTTATCAAAAAATCGTCTTCTATAAACGTTATGCATTGAAGATCAGGGACTCTATGATCAGGGAATACATTAGTTTTTTTAAAATTCTAATCCGATGGATATCAAATCAAATCAAATCAAAATATGCTTTATTGTTTAAAGATACAAATCTTGATAACAAAGCTTCCAAATATAATATAATTAAAATTGAAATCATCAACAAAGTAGGTACGTAAAAATAAAGATAATAAGCAGCAATAAAATAGGAATAAAAACAACTGGATAAAATAGATCGAAAGACTGCTCAACATTAAAATTAAAAACAAACTTAAAATTAAAACTTAAAATTATTGA